TTAAAATCTGTATCACAGCACATCAAACAAAACTGACATAAAAATATCTTCCATGATTTGTCCTCCTAAGTAGACCGCATTCGATGAGATTTTACCAGTCTCACAAATGCACTGATATAAATACTTTATATTGTTCACGACATCTTATTGTTACATCCCGTTCGGCTTCACTTCAATCAAACAATCGAATTTCATCACCTGATTTCAGCACGCAAACCTGAGAAGACCGAATGTTTGAAAATGATGACCCTGAAACTATTATGCTAATGAGTGATCAATATGGATACATCGTATTGAAATGAGCGGTGCCAAGCAACTGAGATAACATGAGAAAATTAGCTATTCCTCAGAAAGTGAGCAAAAACTGCCCTCCAAAATATATACTTTTCTGAAAGTAGAGAATGTGGGAAATCTAACGGTGTACAGAAAATAACAGGTTACTGGGAAAACCTGAGAGTATTGTTACCTTGAAAGTGTTAACCTTATAGTGCTATAATTAAGCATGCATTGACCTCTAGTGATCAATGTATATGAATAAGCGCCACTGCGCCAGCTGAGATAGCTTTACGAAAATAGCTATATCTCCTCAAGTAAGCAGAACTGCTCAGCAAAATCTATAATATTCTGAATCCAGGAGCTTTGAGGAATCGAATAGTGTAGAGAATTTGATATGTTACTGGTCAAAACCGAGAGTACGGTAGGCTCGAACATGGCAACCCCGATAGCATTGAAGTAATAGCTATATTTCCTCAAGTAACAAAATCGCTCAGTAAAATATATGATGTCTCGAATCTAGAGATTGCGATGGATTGAATGGTGTAAAGAAATTCATATGTTGCCAGGCAAACCTGAGAATACAGTTACATTGAAGATGGTAGGTAACCTATAATGAGCTATAGTATCGTATCGATACGGTAACTAGCCACGCCCACAGTTAAAGCAACCAACAGGAGTACTAACCCCGGGGTTCAATGACTACGGTAACTAGGCACGCCCACAGTTAATGCAACCAACAGGAGTAGCAATCCCCGGGTTAAATGACTACAGTAACTAGC